TAAAAATTGGGAATTTTTTTTCCCCCGGGTTTCCCCTTTAAACCCGTTAAAAATTTTCCCCGTAAAAAAGTCCCAGGGCGGCTCGGTGAAAAATATTTTTTAGGAAAAATTGCACCAGCATCGCAAGAAACTCAGTTTTTTATTCGTTTAAATATTTAAAAAGTATAAAATAGCCCAGGATTTAGTTGACCCAGCTTGACAACTCTGCAATAATCTTGAAAAATAATTAATTTTTGGGCAATTTTTCTGAGGAAATAAAAAACCTACAGCCTCCTAGCTGGCTAGTTGGGGTTTGTCCTAGTCTTTAACGTTCCTAGACCAAACGTCTAAGGGGTGGAAAAACTTTTAAAATGACAGAAATTTGGGGGTGGGCTTTCCCAAATCCCCAGGGTTGAGGGTGAGTTTGGGAATCCACGCCAAAATGAGTTTACACCTAAATAGGGTCCAATAGTATCAGGTCATAAATTGGCAAAATGACCCCCACAACATTTTTAAAAACTGGCAAATTACTTGAAATTTAAAAGAAATTCGCTGTTTTTTAAAAACGTTTTTGAAATGTTAATGAGGGAAATACTTTTGTGCAGGGGGTTAGACTACTAATAGCAAAAGTCTCCGTTTTTAGACAACAAGAAATGGTGTATTGTTGGGAATGCTGGGGAAGTGGTTAAAATTTAAAATATAGTAAATTGTAATTTGTTGTGAATTTGAGAATAACTTTTTGTAATCCTAGAAGTATAATTAATGCCGAAAAACGTAAAGTTACCGAAAGTTATAATTCTGGAAATTCATTTGGGCAGGGTCGTAGTGATTCAAATACCTACCCAGCCTTTTGTGTTAGAGGAAAATTTACCAAACAGTTTTCTGTCCGCATTTACTAAGTGACCATTTATCGTCGGTTTTTAAAAGTGGCCTGCGGGCAATCGTTTTACAAGCCCTAAAAAACCGGGTCCCCAAAGGGCTTCCCAACCAACTTCTGCGATTTTCAAAACATAATTTTCTGTCTGTAAAATTAAACTTACTTAATAAAGAATTCTGGTAGTTGTACCTCACTTGTTGGTTACTCACCTAGAATAATTTTTAATTTTACATATAATTTATTATTAGTTATAAAATATTCCCCACAAAAAAACCCGGAGGCCCTGTGCCCATATTTTTGTCCCAAATCCCCCCAATACCCCCAGAGGATCCCTGTTTAAAAAAATAGTATAAATTCTAGAGAGGGTTTTTGCCTATTGGCGACACCTTTCCTCAGGAAACCCCGGAACGCAATCCAGGTGGCAGGTGTGTGGGGACTTTGGAAGAGTTTTGCAAAGCTCTGTACTGCCACCACAACCTGGACGAGGACATTCAATTAAATAGGGGCTCCCATTCTTAGGGTGGTAATTCTTGAAAAAGGGTAAAACCCCAAAAAAAACCCGGACCTAATTTCTGTTTAAGATGGCGAGGGACGCCATGTAGCTTATAAGTTTACTTATTCAGATAATGAAGCCCGGAAAGTTTGTTTTGAAAAGGTAAATGGCAGTATAAAAGTGCAGCAGGTGTTGGTAGTCCAAGTGGTAGCTTACTAACTATAGTAGGTAAACCCTGACAAACTGTTGTCAAGATTACCAGGTTTTTTACCGGGGGGGCCCCATTAGCGAGGTATTCTAGAAAACTTCAGAAAAATCAACCCGGGGGGGGTTTTTTCCCCTTTACTGGAATAATTTTCTGGGAAAAAACCAAAATGGTGGGACAACCCGGGTTTTTTTTTTTTGGGGTATTTTTTCCCAAAGGGGAGTTTAGGTTTGGAAGGGAAAAAAAACCTTCCCTGGGTCAAAAAATTTTTTATTTTGGTTTTTTTTTCCCGGACCAAACAAACAAACCCCTAAAAATTTTACCCCCCAAAAATTTTTGGGCACCCTTTGGGAAATCCGCCCAAAGGGGGTGGGTGGTGGGAAAAAAAAAATAAAATATAAAAAATTTCCCAAGAATTTTTTTAAAAAAAAATTAAATTTTTTAAAAAAAACCTTTGGGTTTTTCCTTTTTAAAAATGGGGGAAAAAAAACCTTGAGTGTTTTTTTTGTTTCCCCCCCTAGTAAAAAATTTTTGGGGCCCCCGAAGGGTTTATAAAAAAAAAATACACCCCAAATAAAGGCCCAAAAGGGTTTTGGGAAAAAAATTTAAAGAAAGAAAAAAGGGAAAATGAAAAATAAAAATTTTTTTAAAAAACATTTTGTTTTTCCCCTCCTCCTTTCCCATTGGGGAAAAGCCCCAAAAATTAAAAAATGGGTTTTTTTTCCCCCTAAAAGCGATTTGTTTTTTAATGCCCTTTCCCCCCCAATTGGGAGCCCCAATAAATGTTTAAACCGGGGCCCCCCAAAACCCAACCATAAAAAGTGGGTTTTTTTTTATTTTTCCCCCAAAATTAAAATAAAACAAATGGTTTTTTCCCCCACGAGGGCCCAAAAAGGGCCCCCCGACGTAAGGGGGAAAATGTTAAAAATTCCCCAAAAACCCCTTCCCCAGCTTTGGGAAAAAAAATTAAAAAAAAAAAAACCCCAAAAATTTTACAGGCGGGGTCCCCCCCCCCCCTTTTAATGTCCCCCAAAATTTTTTTAATTTAAAAAAGGGAAAACCCCAAAACCCAAAGGGTTTAAAAAAGGGGCACCGTGGGGGCCCCATTGGGGCCGCTTTTTTTCCAAAAAAAAAGCCCCTTTTAAAACCCTTTCGAAAAAAAACTAAAAATCCCCTTTTCCCCCAAACCTTACAAAAAACCCCCCCCCCAAAAGGCCTTTTTAACCTTCCCAAAAAATTTCGCCACCAAATGGATTTTAAAAATTTTTGGGCCCCTTAAACCCAAAAAAAAAACGCCCCCCCCCTTGGGGTTCCCCCCTGAAACCAAACCCAAAATTTTTTTAAATTTTTTTAGGGTCAAAGGGGGGTGGGCCTTTTACACCCCCCCTTAAAAAAAAAAATTTAACCCCCCCCCCCGGGAAATTTTAAAACCCAAAAACCCCAAATAACTTTTAAAAAAAAGTTAACTGCCCCCCCTTTCCCCCAAACCCAAAATTTAAATTTTAAAACCCCCCCTTTAATTTAAACCCAAAGCCCCCCCCAAAAAATAACACCCCCAAAAATGGAAAAAAATTTAAAACACCCCGTCCCCCCCCAAAGAGTTTTTAAAAAAAGGGGGGAAGTTTTTTGTGTTTTAAAAAAACCCTGTAAAAAAAGCTTCCCCCAACCCCTTCCCCCAGTAAAAAAAAGGAAAAATGGGAAAAATTTTTTAAAAAGGCCCAAAATTTGTAAAAACCTTTAAAAAGCCCCTTGGGAAAAAGAGTAAAAAATCCCCAAATTTTAAAAAACGACGGAAAAAATAAAACCCCCCAAAGAAAAATTTTTCCCCGGAAACCTTTTTTAACTTCATTTTTTGGGGCCCCCTGAAAATAGCCCATCCCGGAAAAACTGAACCAATTCACAATTTTTATTTTTAGAAAAAAATGTTCCCCTTCCCCCTAAAAAAAATTTTTTAAAAACAATAAAAGTACCGGGGCCCCAGCTTTTGGGGGCTCTATTAAAAAAAAATGTAAAAAAATTTTGTTTTTAGCGGTATTTTGGCCTTTCCCAAAACCCCCCCCCCCCCAAAAACCAACCCCCGTCCCCCCCCAACCCCTTTTTTCCCCCTGAAACCCCCCCGGGGGCCCAGGGTTTCCCAAAATTTAAAAAACTAAAATTTTCTAAAAGAAAATTCCCGGAAAAAAACCCGATTTTAAATTATTTTTAAAAAATCCCCCCCAGGGAAAACCAAAAAAAATAAAAAGGTTTTTTTTAAAATATATTTAAAAAAAACGCAAAAAGTAAAAAACAAAAAAAATTTTTTTGGTAACATTTTTTGTCCCCCCCCCCCCCCCTCCCCCTTCCCCCCTGTGTTCCCCCCCCCCCCCCCAAATTTTTTTGGCCCCTTTTGGGTTTTAAAAGGGTCAGGTTTGTTTTTTCCCAAAGGGAAGCTTTTTAAAATTTTTTTCTTTTAAACTTTGGCTGGGAGGCCCCTTGGGGAGGCCCCCTTTTTTTAATTTTTGCCCTTTTTTCAAAAAGGTGGAAACCCGTTTCATTTTTTAAAAATTTTAAAAAAAAATGGGAAAAATTTTTTTAAAAATAAAAATGAAAAAATTTTTTTTTTTCATACCAAAAAGGAAAAATTTTCCCCTTTTCTTTAAAATTTTCTTTAATAAGTTTTAAAAATTTAGCTTAAATTTTTAAAATCAAAATTTTAAATCCCCCCAAAATGTTGGGTTTTACGTAAAACAAAAAAGTTAAAATTTTTAAAACCTTTAAACCCTTTAATTAAAAACCCCCAACCTTTTTCCCCAAATATACATCCCCTTTCCCTTTTTTTTAATTTTGTTTGCCCTTTTTTTTTATTAAAAAATTTTAAAACGGCCTAAAATTTTAAATTTTTAAAAAAATAAAATAAACCCAAAAATAAGACCTATTTTTTCGAAAGAGCCCGGGCCTTTCCCAAAAAAAATTTTATAGAAAAAACCCCAAATTTTATTTTGAACCTTTTCAAGGGTTTTTTAAAAAGAAGGCTGCCCAAAATCCCAAACAAAAAATGGGTTAAAATTTTAAAATTTTAAGGGAAATACCACCCGGCCCAAACAACCAAAAAAAAAGAAAATTTTCCCCCAAAACCAAAATCCTCCCCTTTTCCCCGGAAATGAAAAACCCCCCCCTCTGGGGGAAAGGTTTAAATTTCCGGGGAAAAACCCGGGTGTAAACCCCCCTTTGGGTTTAAAGTGGGGCCCCCCCCCCCCCCAAGGGAAAAAGGGGAAAATAAAAACCCAAAATGCCCCCCCCTCCTTTTAAACCCAAAAATCAAGTTTGTTTTTGAGTAAAATTTAAAAAAATTT